TCCAACTCCAAAAAAAAAAAGATTTTAAAAATCCTTTCCCACAGTCATGATCACTAAACTGCTCAGGGAGAAAGCTGAACTGAGATCACAGTGATTCCCAAAGAAGTTTAAATCCAAGAATGTTTCAGTGGTCATTGCCACATTTGGGTACTGCAGTGGGCTGAAAAATGGCCCCAAAGAGATCATGTTTTAATCTCTGGACACTGTAAATGCTACAAGGATCTTTGTAGGTGTGATTAGGTTAAGGGTCTTGATATAGGGAGATTATTTTGGATTAGCTGGGCAGGCCCTCAATGCAATCACATGTATCTCTACAAGAGAGAGGTAGAGGCCAGGAGCGGTGGCTCACACCTATAATCCCAGCACTTTGGGAGGCCAAGGTGAGAGGATTCCCTGAGCCTACAGGTTCCAGACCAGCCTGGGCAATTGGGCAAGAAAAAAATTAGCTGGGTGTGGTGGTGTGTGCCTATAGTTCTAGCTAGTTGGAAGCCTGAGGCAGAAGGACCTGCTGGGCTCCAGTGATCCTTACGCCTCAGCCTTCCAAGTAGCTGGAACTACAGGCGCGCGCTACCACACCTGGCTAATTTTTGATTTATTGTAGAGACGAGGTCTCACCAAGTTGCCCGGGTGAGTTTCGAACCTGCGGGCTCAGGCAACCCACTCGCCTCGGCCTCCCAAAGTGCTGGGATTACAGGCTGTGCCACCAAGCCCAACCTGTGTATTTATTCTTACATGTTTAAACTTCAGTCATCTTCAAAGTACTCTCCCTTTGATGTAAAACAGCTATTGAGATGCTTTCTCCACTGCTCAAAACAGTTTTTGAACTCATCAATTTTGATGCAGTTGAGTGCTTCTGCCATTGTTTGTTTCACCTCTTCCATATCAACAAAACATTTCTGGAAGAACCAGTCACTGGTCTGCCACAACTCTACAACTCAGGACATTTCTTCGGCAAGTTGTGACACAACCTTTTTTTTTTTTTTTTTTGAGTCAGAGTCTCACTCTGTCACCCAGGCTGGAGTGCAGTGGCATGCTTACGGCCACCACAGCCTCGACCTGCTGGGCTCAGGCGATCCTTTCACCTCAACCTTTCAAGTAGCTGGGACTACAGGCATAGCCATCACGCCTGGCTAATTTTTTGATTTATTGTAGAGATGAGGTCTCACCATGTTGTCCAGGCTGATCTCAAACTCGTGGACTCAGGTAATCCTCTCACCTCCACCTCCCAAAGAGCTGAGATTGCAGGTGTGAGCCACCATGCCTGGCAACACAACCTTTTTAAAACTTCCAGATAAAAACTTTGGTTGAATGTTTGATCCAGAGGAACAAATTCCAAGTGTATTACAAGGGGCCTGTCCTTCCAAAAGATAATTCCATTTTTAGGGGGTTCCTCCTTATACACCATGTCAGGCACCCAGAGA